GTTGTAGTGTAGTGTAATGTATTGGAGTGTAGTGTGGTGTAGTGGTGGTTATAGTTGAAAATGCTACAAAACCCTCACGTTTTGCTCACTTTGACAAGGTCCACAATCCCTTGCGCCTGCCACGCGAAACGACATCTGAACTTCCAAAAGTGGTCCGAGAATGGTGTGTTTTGTACATTTTGACTTCGAAATGTGCTTCGCGCCACAACGGCGTGCACTTTTTCGACATCTGAACCTCCAAAAATGGTCCGTACATGGTGTGCTTTGTACATTTTGACTTGGAAATGTGCTTCGCGCCACAACGGCGTGCACTTTTTCGACATCGTAACTTCCAAAAGTGGTCCGACGCTGAGGTGTTTTGTACATTTTGACTTGGAAATGTGCTTCGCGCCACAACGGCGTGCACTTTTTCGACATCGCAACTTCCAAAAGTGGTCCGAGAATGGTGTGTTTTGTACATTTTGACTTCCAAATGTGCTTCGCGCCACAACGGCGTGCACTTTTTCATCTCTCATCTGGCCAGCTGGCTCTGCACCCGCCGCTTTAGCGAGCCTACTTTTCGACCCTCCGGAGCCCCAAATCATTGGAAAAACACAGTGTTTCGCGACTTTCCTACCTTTTCGCGCATCTTCATCTTCTTTCTTCTTACTCTTTCTCTTCTACTCTTCTTTCTTCTAATCTTTCTCTTCTCTCTGCCTCTTCCCTGCTCTGCTTTTCATCTGTCCATATTGTCGGAAGTTTGACTTCTAAACTTCCTTCGATAATTATATTACATTCCGAAGGTGAATGACTTTCTACAATGAAGAATCAGCTCTCCTCGTCTTTTTTCTCAATAATGCGATCTCGCCAAGGTCGAGCAACCTCCTGCGGCTGAGTATGTTCGAGTGTGATTGGATGAGGCAGCCTAGTGTTCGAACCATTGGATCATCACAGATCACCATTGCTGAAATACAGGTCATGAGTCATCTTGATTGTTGGCATTGTGAAGCAATCATAATGTGTGTTGAGTGTTGTATCTTGAGCTGGCGAGGTGCATCAAAAAAGTAGAAACTCATGAAAGGTAACAAGAAATGTGGAGAGCAAACCAGAGCGAAACTTATCTCTCTAAGGTCAGTTCATGTTGCATCAGAATGCGTCCTGGCCCATGAAGCCTGAGATCTGGATCAAAGCAAGCCCAACGAGGAAGAGGACGAAGAGTCTCCCACGACGGCTGGATGTCATTCTGCCAGCCTCACATTCGCGGCTCATAGTGGGTGCCTAAGGCCTTTGCTGTAAGACTTGGCTGAAAGAGTCCCCAAGTGAACTTTTGTGGGTGGCAAGTAGGGAATGTATAATATTACTGCAATTGCCATATTAATACCAGTTATACACAGTGGTAGACGATGTTTGCATATGTTTGCATCATTCTCACCCATTTGAGAGACAGACAGAAATCGGCAACGACACAGAGAAGTCTAGGAGAGACTGGCGAAGTCAATGGCTCGAGCCAAATATGCCGAATACCAGCAGCGGCACGTCGCTGTCATGTACCTTCAAACTATGGCCAAAAATCCAAACAAGCACATCCACAAAGAAAAGTCGAGTTAACGAGAATCGAGGCACTGGCAGGTGCAAATCTAAGATCAAATCTGACCATATTTGACTATATTTGCCTCAGGTCCTCACTTTCGGTCACCTTTTTAATTCGTGTTCACTGGGACTCAACCCTGGCAGGTCCTCCTTGACCTGCTGTGGCACCGCTGTCTCATAGGTGGAAAGCAGTGTCCCATCCTGGCTTCCAAAATCGTCCAATCGGACCAAAGTTTTTATGTTTGAATTTGGTGCAAGATTGACATAGATTGACATAGTACAATATGTCGCAATCAGTCTGGGAATGTCGGGGACCCGGTGCGCCGGACCCAGCCATACCCAGCCTTTCTGCAAAGAATGGACCATCTCAACTGCTGGGGCAACTCACCAGGCACTTGGTCTCTTGCCTCACAGTCCACCGGGATCCATCAGGGATCCATCAGGGATCCATCAGGGATCCATCAGGGATCCATCGGGCAAATCAAAAATAATCAAAATTGGAAGGATCAAGAAAGTTAGTCGATCTCAAGTTCAATAAGAATCAACAATTCAATCAGATTGATGCAGCGATCTACATTGACCATATCGAGCAACATTGGATAGATATATTTCGATTCAGCTATTTCATCTTCAAGACTATCAGAAATATAGAACCTGTAGAGCACATCCGAACCTCAAAAGAATGATATTCACCAGGCAGACATGATACACCACCAATGATATCATTTATAATAATGATTCTAATGTAATCCCCTCCATAAGCCACGTCAAAGATTCTCTGCTCTTTTGCATGCTGATTTTTTGAGGCAACTCACCAACAAGACATGGAACTGCGGAATAGATTCGCTATGATTCGTGAGCATAATGGCCTAGCATCTTGACAGTCTCTCAAAAGACAAAGCCTTGCAAGTCACTGCAATGTTGGTGCGATTGCCAAGGTAACTCTGCCTTAGATATCATCGAAACAACATAAAACAACTAGAAATTGCTATTCTGAATGCTTGCAGTTCTGGACGACATAGTGTTGGCCCAGGTGAGATCCGCATCAGCTTTCAAGTCTTGCTGTCGTGATCCGAGGTGAGCCCAGTTTTGACGTCTCTGTCCAAGGTCAACACAACTTGACCACGCAGTTCCTCCTCAAATTCAGAGTCACGAGTCACACCAAGTCATGGCAACAACAAAACTAAATACATATGCATCGTACAATATAATATTATATATATATATATATACATAATATATCTATACACGAGTATCATATATCTATATACAAGTATATATGTACCTATATGAATGTGTATATATATATATATGTGGTAGGGAGCTTTGGGGTCTATTTGGTAGGGTAGGGTATGGCATGGGATGGTGTTTGCATTTGCATTTGGATTGGATTGGATTGTTTCTTGTTGATTTACATAGATATATATATATATACATGTGTGTGTGTGTTGTGCGCGCGGGCGCGCGGGACGGCGCGCGGGGCGTGTGCGTGCGTTGCGTGCGTTGCGGTGGGCGGCGTGCGTGCGGCGGGCTGGCGGGAGCGGGGCTGGCGGTGGCGTGCGAGGGCGGGCGTGTGGGCGTGCGTGGCGGGCGTGCGGCGTGCGTGCTTGCGTCGCGTGGGCGTGCTTGGGGTGGGTGGTGGTGGGTGGGTTGGGTGCGGGGGGGCGAGGGGTGCGTGGGGTGCGTGTGTGCGTGGGTGGCGTTGGTTGCGTTTGTGGGTTGGGTGGGGCGGCGTGCGGGCGTGGCTGCGTGGTGGGTGCGTGGTGTGCTTTTGTGCGTGGGTTGCGTGGGTGCTTGGGTGCGTGGGTTCTTGGGTGCGGGGGTGCGGGGGTGCGGGGTTCGTGTGTCTGTGCGTGTGCGGGTGCGGGTGCGGGTGCGTGTGCGTGTGCGTGTGGGTGTGCGTGTGGGTGTGGGATACCCCCAACTACTACTTAGATGAGCTGCTTCTTTGCTAAGGGCTTAAGAAGTTTATTCACATTATCTAAACCTATGCTAAGAGTCTGTTAAATGCCTGTTAAAGCATTGCTAAGTATCTACTAAAGTTCCTAAAAGCTTATAAGCAAGTAAGATGCTTAAGTAATCTTTAGCTAATTATGATAAAGCAACATAATTTTGCTAAACATTAGACATGGCTTAGCTAAGAATTAGCTAATTTCACAACATGGACATGATCAATATTCTCACGAACTTTTTCTTTGTCCAATGTTTTTTTTTAAAACAAAATTTTGAAAAGTTCCACAGCCCAGGGTTGTATGTTTCCTGGCACGTTGATATCTCTTGATTGAAATTTGCAGACAACTTTTTCATATTTTTCAAGCCTGCTGCAAGCACATTTGCAATGCATCAGATCTCCACAGCTGCCAGCACCCGTGTGGCACTTGCCATGCAATATCTGTAGCATCCAGTGCTACAGGCAACTTTTCCATCCACCAATCACCCAATGCCATATAGCTGCATTGGTTTATTGACAGCACCCAGTGCTACCTATATATAGGCACCCGGTGCAACCCAGCATCCAGTGCTACCCAGCAGCCAGCGCTATATATCCAGCACCCAGCGCCATACCCAGCACCCAGTGCTATATACCCAGCACCCAGTGCTACCCAGCATTAAGTTGAATCTACTTGCCACAGCTTGAATTGTTTGGAAAAAGAGCATGTGTGGATCTGTGAATTCCTGCAGACAAGTGTGCCCAGCTTCCAGAAGCCTGTACAATGTGAATGTCAAAGGCAAGAAACAAAAAACAGAAATGGAAAGAACAAGTGAACACAAATTCCAGGAAGACCAATGTTGGACAACATGAGTCCAAGAACAGCAGCTTCCCTGTGCAGCCACCTGTTATATAGCCATGGACCCCCATGTGGTGGCTGAGCTTACTAAGCTGAAGGATGACAAGCAAATGCCCATCAACACCAAATGGGCCAAGTTGAACGAAACCATGGTCCAAGCAGGTTTGGCATGGCCAAGGACAGAGGTCCCCAGCCAAGTGCTGTGCCACCCAAAGAATAGAGCAGGCATCATGCTCAATGCATGGGATGTGCATGCCAAGGGTGGCAAGATGCTTGAATTGGGTATTGCCATGAACAAGATCGAAGAAAGTGTTGCCTTTGAGGTGTCAGCCAAAGGCAGCACCAAGCAGCAACAGCTCCAGGCCAACATTCAACTAGTGGAGTCCTCCCACAACCAACTGGCACCAGTAACTGGCCAAGAGAGATTGCTCAGCTGCTCCAGCAGCCATTTAGTCGCCTTCTGCAGAGCAGTTCTCCATGGGTGCCAAACCCAGGAGCCAAGTCTCAAGGCCAAAACCAATGGCCAGTTGAGTTTGGCTGCTTTGGCCAACAGCCAAGATGGTTTGGTGACCATGTGTGAGCAAGGGTGGACATGGCTGGTGGTGTCCAGTCTGGTTGAAGAGGCCTTCCCAGACCTGCCAACTTTGGTCCAACAGGCCTTGAACACCACCCAGGCAGTCAGCCAAGGCCAAGGCGAATGTGAGACCATGCTCACCATTGCCACCCACTACCAGCATGGCCAAAACAGCAATGGCTCAGGAGACATGGCCCAAGCCATTCAACTGGCAGCCAGCAGCCAGCCAGAGGGAAGCAACTACATGCAGACCATGGGCTACTATGTCCAAAACTTCAGTGGTGGTGTTGGCTGGCCATTGCTCCACCTGCTCCAGCACATCAGCAGCTGGGCTTCATTAGCTGCCAGCATCTGTTTTTTCTGACATTGTTGTGTTAGTTGCCCCATGACACCCTGTACTCAGGCAAGCAGTTCAGCACCACTTTGAAGCTGGGGGAAGAGTATTTCTCCACAGTGGCCTACTTGGACTTCAAGGAGAAAAGCTCCAGCATGCCTTGGGTGAGGGCTGCACTCTTGGCAGCCAATTTGTCTGCACCAAGGTCAACTGATGGCATTGCCAAATGTTTGACCAAGGCAGACTGTGAAAAATTGAAGTCCAAGCACCAAAAGGCTCTGGTCATTCAATGTGAATCCATGTTGGCCATGAACTGGGCCACTTTGCAAGGCAAGCCATGGAAAGACACACCCAAGGCTTACAACTTGATGGGCAGGTGCATGGTCAGGATGGCATTGCATATTGCCAAGAAGGAAACCAAAGGGAGAGACACCAAAAACTACGAGTCTTTAGCTGAAATTTCCACTTTGTTTTCTGAAGAGCTGCTGGAAGTGGAAGCAGCACCTGGGGCCCCATCTGTGGAGCCAGCTTCTTCCAGCCACCAACAGCCTATGCCCCAGCCAGATACACTCCAGGCCTGGGAATCTGTATGCATGTGCCCACAACATATGATTGTGTGTGGCTTGGATTTTTAATTATGATTTAATTGTTCTCCATTGCTACCCATTGCCAGGATGCTGCAGACCCAGCCAAGCTGGCCATGAAGACTTACAGAGTGGAGCCAGGTTGCCATTACACTTACAAAGCCAAAGATTCCAAAATTGCTGACCCAAGAGTTTGGAAGCTCCAGCATGTTGGCCCAGGCAAATCCAATTTTGAGCACCAGCCATTGATTGGGCCAGCAGTTGGCTTGGAAGTGGAGAATGAAGACCTGAAGAGATTTAGAAAATTTGACAGGGACCTCCCAGTGTTGGTTCCAACTGCAACACTGGAGAAGCTACACCCAAGCCAAAGTGAGCAGCTGCTGAAGGAAGCCCTGAAGGCAGAGGCCCAGCAAATCCTGTGCCAACACTACCAGGAGTATCTTGGTTGCAACTCATTGTGCTATGTGCAACAAATTCACACAAGATTTTCAAATTTGTCACCCTCACTTAAACCAGCTGTGTTTGCAGGAAAGTGAAGCTGGACGCAGATTCTTTGCTGGTGGCCCAGAACTTCAATGGCATCCTGGCCAACAAGAGCTTTGGCAAGGGCAAGCTTGTGCTGTTTCCAGTTGGCCCTGTGGCTGTGGTGAAGGAGGTGAAGGCCTCCATGCTCACCATGACCAGCCCCTTGGGCCAAGAGTTGCAAATTTTGGCACCCAAGTTGGACCTCAAGGAAGGCACAGGTTGGTTCCATATTTCCATGTGAGGCCAACCCCTGAGCAGTCTTTGGCCAACATGGAGCCTTTTGTTGCCAAATCCTCCAATTGGCAAATCCCTGGCTACAAGAATTCCACCAAGATTGACATTGGGGACCAGCTGCTGTTTTACAAAGACAAAGACAAGGAAAAGGATAAGCAGGAAGAGGAAGCCACAGTGTCACCACCAGCCAAGAGGGCAAAAGCAGGAAGGACTTAGTGTGGTTTCACCCAAAGTAGCTCCACTGGAGGTGTTGAGCTTTGATTTTTGCCAACCAAATGGCTGCCACACACCAGGAGTAGGTTTTGGTGCTTGGCAAAAGGTGTGCTTGACATAGTGGCTGTGTTGCATCATTGTGGACCATGCATGAAAGGACTACAATACAAGCATATGCTGCAGCCAAATGATTCATGTGGCTACATGGGGTGGGCCATGTTTTCAGCACCCAGTGCTTTCTTTACATATGTGGAACGCCAACCATAGAGCACTGTGTGCTTGTCATGTTCAAGGCTTAGTCAGCAGTGCCTGTTCCTGCTTGTGCCACAAGCACCCAGCCATGGTGACAATCAGCAAGCAATATTGCTTGGCTTTCCAGCAATCCAAAAAGGTCATGATCCCACCAGAGTTGGTGGCACAGCATGAAGGGAAAGACTATTTGAAGATCAGGCCAAGCTATTACAAGATCATCCAAATTGTATGTGGTGTGGCAGCACCCAAAAAAAATGCCAGCCTCACAGACAGCACACAGTTGGCTTCTTTGAAAGCCAAAAGACAGGAAGCATTGGCCAAAGAATTGGAAGAAACCCAAACAGAAGGAGATAGCATGGGCTTGGAACAGCCAAAGAAGAAGATGAGAGCCAATGTGAAAGACCAAGTTGTCCACATTGATGTAGAGGGCCACAGTGTACCCATTTTTTGCTCTGGTGGATCTATTCAGGCAGACCTGCAACCAGAAATGGCACCAGAGGCACTTGGTCCCATTTTCGCTGTGCTGCAAGAGGGCCTCCAGGGAGAAGCCACCACCAAGGAGAAGAAGGCAAGGTGCAACCAATGACTATGGGAAACATGAGACATGTACCAAAAAAGAAAAAGACAAAGA